GGGGAGAGAATAGCTTCTGTTCATCTTGTGTTAATTTCATTTTTGTTTTTCAACTTAAAATTACTCCTCAAAAGATGTTCCTGTGTATTGTTTTGTGTGCATATACCCTGCTCCCTCCACTTTCAGAAACTAATGCAATCATATTTTGTAAGTTAAAACACAAGAGCCAAGAAGTGTATACTTACAGCGTTGTAAGGGAGATAAAAAAAATTCATAATAAAACTTCCTATCTTCTTTCCACCATAGATAATCGCAATATGGAATGTGACAGCGCAATTTAGCATAACAATTTAAACCCCTAATGGTTTGCCCACAAACTAACTATACAGCCAGACCATGATTTGGCTTACCTCTATGTCTCCAAATAACTGAGCAATCCAAAAAAAAGCCCAAGAAATAAAATTATTCTTAAAATAGCTCAGAGAGCTTATAACTTCAGTCACATTTCCAGTTTCTTTAATCATGCTAAGTATGAAAAAAGTTTTGGTTTTTATTCTCAATCCATGCTATCTTGTATACCGCCAGCTGCCAAAATTACATAATTTCTAATATGTCTTATATTTTATGTTATATTACTAAGTTTTATAGATTAACCAATTTTAAGTATATAGGTCAGTGATACTAAGTCAAACAATATCATCTTCAGGTAGCATCCAAATAAAAGATTATTTGCTGTTAACTGTTTGATGATCTTAATGTATTTGGTACATAACTAAAGTTACCACATACCTTTTTCTGGGAAATTGGCAGATTATAAACTTGAAAAATTTGTTTCCTCTATATTAATTCTTATTGTTTCAAAAATCAAAGTTACTTACAAGATAAGGTCAGTTTCACAATAGATTTGGCTTAATTTATTATACTCTGTCATTCATTCTTAACATATAGAAAAGGCTATTTGTGACTAAAGATAATATGTTATAAAAAATAAAAGTTAAGGACTCTTTAGAAACAATACAAAAATACCAGAACTAGATTATACCAAATTTACATATTCAGAGAATGTAAAATTTATGTCACCAGTTGTTAAAGAGTTTTATAATGAAGAATTTTCATTAGCTGGGCATGGTGGCACATGCCTATAGTCCCAGCTACTTAGGAGGCTGAGGAAGGAGGATTGCTTGAGTCCAGGAGTTTGAGGTTGCAGTGAGTTATGATGATGCCACTGCACTCTAGCCTGGGCAACAGAGTGAGACCCTGTCTCAAAAAGAAAAAAAAAAAAAGAAGAAGAGGAAGAAGAAGAGGAGGAGAAGAAGAAGAAAAGGAGAGGAGGAGGAAGAGAAGGAGGTGGAGGAGGAGGAAGAAGAGAGAGAGGAGAAGAAGGAAGAGGAAGAAGAAACCACTCAAAAGCACTATTAAAACTGTCATCAAAGTGCATCTCAAATTTCAACTGCAAAGTATCAGAAGTAATCATCACCCAGGAATCATATCTAAAATGATGAATATTTTATGAAAAACAAACAATAAAGACAGTTAATTTTTTAAAAATGGAGGTACTAGCATCCTTTTCCTAATGATTCATTAATATTTCTATATTCCATAAATTCTCATAATCACTATCAAAACAATTTTAGTCCTCATAATATGCATGTAGTCAATACTGGTTGCTATTGTAGATACTACAGAATGAGAAGAGATTTTAATTTCAGCACACTGGAACACATAAAAAGCCAAGACAGAAAGGGTTACCAATTCTAATAGTAGCTTTTCCTTTTCGACCACTTCCTAGAATTATAGTTTTCTTTTTCTGTCTAGCAGTTTTCGATGATTCCTTCACTGTTGGAGAAGTTATCCATTGGTACTAGAAGAGAGATAGTAAATATTCCATTTCAGTTACAGGTATTTATGAGAGTTTTGTCTTAACTAGAAATTATTAACATATCCTGAGTTAATAACAGGTTTGCAATCAGCAGCTCTGGGACCCCAAATTTAAAAATCATACAATATTTTCAAACACAGAAAAGCCATTTTATTTGACTGAAAACTTTAATTTAAGATGGCATAAAAGTGTCTTAATTTTACTTTATTAAAAACAGAAGAGAAGTCAGGCACAGTGGCATGTGCTTGTAATCCCAGCTACTCAGGAGGCTGAGGTAGGAAGATTGCTTGAGCCTAGGAGTTCAAGGCTAGCCCGGGCAATACAGCGAGACCCCCATTTCTTTAAAAACCGAAAAACAAACAAAAACAGAAGAAAAACAAGCAATTAAAAAGAAATTCTTTCTAGAGGAATAAACATGTTATACCTCTGACTTAGCACTCCTTCCATTCTGGACAACTTTTTTGATAACTGCTTTCATCATAGAATGATCTAAAGTAAAATGAAAATTGAAATTATAGTAATTGTTTCCCAATGAGTGGTTACTCCCATTTAAAACAAAAAGCCAAGTAATTATTGTTTTTCCCATAAAATTAAATATGAAACATGTAATTATATACCTATTTCCCTCTTTGAGTATTCTAACTTCTTCCTCAAAAACATAAGACCAAAGTATGCCACTTCTCATATTGCTCCCAGTGGCTACCACTTTGGCAGCAGAAAAGATCAAACCGAAACACTTTGGAACTAAAGTGACTTGGGATAGAAAACAAATAGCCTGGTGTTCAGACATCTAGCTACCAAAAAAGCACCTAATGTAGCCAAATTAAAGCCATGATACATGGTAAAAGCTGTTTTTTTTCCACAGCCTCCTCTTCTCAGTAAATGGTGCTACCCAGTTGTACAACCCTAAATAATCATTTAGTAATCTGTCTTCAAGTCTTGTTAGCTATACCTTGCTTCAACCACTTTTCACTGCCTCCAACCTTCCACCCTAAGATAAGCCATAACTACCTCCCATTTGGACCATTTCATGAAGGTCTCATAACCGGCCCCCTTATTTTCCCTTTTATCTGTTTCCCCACTTCCCAAGTCTGTTCTCTACACCAGAGTCATCTGACTGAAACACTACTCGGATCATGCCTTTTTTTTTTTTCACTTCAAAACCCTCCCATCGCTTTCAGCTCATTTAGAAAACTTTACTAGATCAGGCCACTGGCTAGCTATCTGACCTCACAGCACACCATGCTCTCCCTCATTCAGCACTCCAACCATGTTGGCCTCCTTGCTTTTCCTTAAATAATCCACCCACCCTGCCACCTCTTCTATATACTCACTGCCTCCTCGTCCTAGAATGTACTCTCTTTGAAACTTCCAGGGCTGGTTCCTCTCTTAAGTCTCTACTCAAATGTCACTTCTCCAGTGAAGCTGTCCCCAAACAAACCTATCTAATATAGTCCCACCTGCCCCCATGTGTCTTCTTACCTTAAGGTATTTTTGCACTTCCTACTACCTAAATTACATTACTTATCTGTTTACACATTTTTATCAAAACTCCCCCACTAGAATGTAAGCTTCATGAGGGCAAGACTTTGCCTAGCTAGTTCACTACTATATGCTTAGTGCCTAAACCCGATCTGGCACACAGAAGTATTCGAAAATTACTTGTCAAGTTAACAAATGAATGAAATAGTCTTTCCAAGGATTCACAGGTTCCACAAGAAGAAAATAATGCTCTTGGTGGAAGCAGATCTATTTTCTAGGTTCACTTCTATACAAAGTAGCAGCCAAAAACAAGTTACAAGTATAACTCATTTTAATCAGTAAATTTCCTGCTAAAAACATAAGGAAGTGCAAGATTAGAAAAGTATAAAATTACAAAAGTAAACACATTAAGTTTTAAAAATTGTCAATACATGAACAAAGTCTTTTTTTCTTGCTATTTGTTAGTCAAAAAAAAAAAAAAATGTGGTGACATACCGATGAGTGGATTTTTTCTTATATCCAGAACAACGAGAGTTCTATTGGTTTCAAGGGCCTCCAGTAAAGCCTTTGCTCCTTCATTGGTGAGGCCACACTGTTGCAGGTCAAGTGCTTTTGATAAAAGACAAAGGGTCACTTGCCAACTCTATACAGATTTAACACACAGACAACTTTCACTTATTCATGCCTGGAAGATTCCTGCCAAAGACTAGTTATGGCAGGTTTTTAATCTTGGGTATTGAAAAAGTAAAAATAGAAAAACATATAGAAAACCATATGCACACACATAATCCAAAATAAAAAAAAAGAAAGCCCTCTTTTTGGATGTGCCATGATTATCTTCCCTCTAGTACTAAAATTTTTTTAATTTCATTTCAGAATACTACATGGGTACAAACACTTTGGTTACATATATCACCTTTGCATGGCCGGAGTCAGAGCTACAAACTGTGCCCATCCTCCAGAAAGTGTACACTGCACCCATTTGGTGCGAATTAGTACCATTATATTATCCAACATATTTTACTATTACAGAGTTGAAGAGCAACTCTACATAATTTGTAAGAGAAAAACATCACAGAATGAATATCAGTTCATAATTAGCAAGAATGCTAGTGGCAGGATAAACCTCATAGGCAAAAACTGGGTGGAGCTCAGAAATTGCACTGCATTCATAATCAAAACCTTGAACTTCAAATGACTAAAATATTACACATAAAAGGGAAAAGAAAATAGAAGAAATGTAAGAACTGTTAGTTTCAGAATAAAAATGACAAAGAAAGAATTTTAAGGGGATAAAAATAATGAATCCAAAGAATGTGTGAATAGAGATTATATGCTAAAAGCCTACCAGGAAAAAATGATGATAAGAACTCTCTCTCAGTAAAAGGTCAAAGAAGTGAACAAAGGCTTATGAAATCCTAGCACTCTGGGAGGCCAAGGTGGAAGGATCACTTAAGGTCAGGAGTTCAAAACCAACCTGAGCAAGAGCGAGACCCCGCCTCTACTAAAAATTAACGAAATTAATTGGCCAACTAAAAATATATAGAAAAAATTAGCCGGGCATGGTGGGCATGCCTGTAGTCCCGGCTACTCGGGAGGCTGAGGCAGAAGTATCTCTTAAACCCAGGAGTTTGAGGTTTGAGGTTGCTGTAAGCTAGGCTGATGCCACTGCACTCTAGCCTGGGCAACAGAGTGAGACTCTGTCTCAAAAAAAAAAATGCTTATGAATAATAGCAGCACTGAGGCTCAACGATCTACTCATTTAAACCCAAAGGGATCACTACAAAAGCACAGGTATAAAAAAAGATTACATCAGAAGAGAATATCATATAAGCCTTTCTTTTAAAGCATCAGGTATGCTATTATATTAAAATAACTACTGAAGTCTTTCAAAACCCCATGTTATAGATTATAAGTTTGTGTCCCTCCACTATTAATGTTGAAACCCTAACCCCCAAATGGGATGGTATTAGGAAGTGGGGCCTTTGGGAGGTAATCAGGTTAAAATGAAGCCTTGAGAGTGGAGCCCTCACAACGGGATTAGTGCCCTTATTAGAAGAAAAAGATTAGAGCGCTCTCTCTACCATTTGAGGATACAGGAAGATAGCTGTCTACAAGCCAGAAGAACAACCTCACCAGACACTGAATCTAGTGGTGCCTTGATCTTAGACTGGCCAGCCTCCAGAACTATGAGAAATGCATGTCTTCTGTTTACACAACTCAGTCTATAGCATTCTGCTGTAGAAGACTAAACTGACTAGGATATTCCACAACACACAGACATGATAAGTCAGATATATAAATCCTTACAAACTCTTACCACAGAAGAATGAGCATAGGATGTAATTATCTAGCTAACTAAATTAATAAAAACAGTAAATCCCACTAGTACTTAATACAAATTAAAACAATGAAATATAATTGTTCTCCTATTAGATTAGGCCAAGATCATATAACAAAAGCCTTTAAAATATGCATACTCTGTTAACATGGTAATTTTTCTTCTAAGGATTTACCAAAAGGAAATAATCAGAGATATGGGCAAGGATGTATATCAAGTGCTGTTTATAACAGTGAAAAATATATCTAACAAGAATGAATAAGCTAAGTGTACTATGGTATGTTAACATAATGGAACTCTTTTTTTTTTTGAGACAGAATCTTGCTTTGTTGCCCAGGCTAGAGTGAGTGCCGTGGCATCAGCCTAGCTCACAGCAACCTCAAACTCCTGGGCTCAAGCAATTCTGCTGCCTCAGCTTCTTTACATGGATGTGTCCCTACCATTGCCGCAGTCTATTTTTTTCTATATATATTAGTTGGCCAATTAATTTCTATTTATAGTAGAGACGGGTCTCGCTCTTGCTCAGGTTGGTTTAAAACTCTTGAGCTCCAACGATCTGTGTTAGAGGCAAGGACCCTCAAAGACCCTTAACTCTCTTATGACTTGTCTTAGCACGGGCTTCGCCCTGGAAAATTCCTAGGACAAAAACAACACCCACCCTCCAGCTATAAGCTCCCGAAAAGAATGCGTTCCAAAATGCTCCAGGTGTGCTAACTGCAATTGTTCCCGACCACCTGCCAGGTTGGGGTCGAGTAATCAGTCACAAACCTCGATACTGATGAGATACTGATTGGGGCTGATTAGCCACAAACCCAAGACTCACCCGTCACCCCACTGCATTTTTGTTTCTACTTCCTTGTTTCTGTATGCTTATAAAACCTACTAAGAATCTAAGTAAAGTAGACTAACAAAACAAGAAAGAAAGAAAAAACAAATAAAAAAAAAAAA